ATATGTAGCAGCAGAATACTAGAAAGAGATCTTTACTCTACCTTCAAGGGGCGTACAGACTCCTGGGACCCATTTGAAAATGGAGTAAAATTAGTATTTTGACGGAGAAAATGTAAACTGTTTCCTTAATTAGATATTAAATGACGATAAGTATGTAGATAGTAATTAAGTATCATAATTTCAATAATAAAATATAGAAATAATGCGGATTCCAACTTTCAGCTGCTAAGCAAAATACCACCAGCAAAGGCCAGCAAATGTTTTCGCCCGAAAGTTATTGCACATGGATTTTTCTTATTCTGTATATTATCCACTGGTAATAACAGTATTTGCTTGCATTATGTCACCTTTAGTGTAATCACGTGTCAAATCGCATGAAGCATATTTGACAAAATTTTGATGGAAATATAAAACCGAAACATAATCAAGATAAGCACATAGCCTAACACTACAACAACATTGCAGCAAATAGGCAATGGAAGGAAGGCATGAAGGATGCCAACATTTATGAGCATATGTAACTTGTAAAAGCATTCCGTATTTGAGCTCTAAGTACGGAGTTTATTTTCAAGTAATTTGTGAAAATTTCTTTCTTCTCTCTGCTACTTTTGCTGTTCGCCATTGCTTAGGAACCACCACTAAATATTTTGCTTTCAATTTGTGTTATAAACCCCCGAATGTAGACACATATGTATGTATGTACATAAGCATGAACATATAGTGGCTTCAATTGGGTTTTATGTTACTCCCTTTTGTTGGTATTCTTTAGTGCCATTTGTATTGACTCAATGAAGCTGATGTAAAACTGATTAACAAGCCTGATAATGGCAACAATTATTTTCTGCAATTACAACAAAAGCAGAAAAAGAACAATGCCGCTGCTCGACTGTTGACTGGCGGGCTAGGCTGGGCTGTCGGACTGGATTCAATATATGTATGACTGAATTACTAAGGATAATAAAACATAATGCACACATGCTTGTGAATTTATTTTTGTTGCCTTTGTTTAAGTACTTGCTGTATGTTGAAAGGTACTTGAATAGTTGGCTTAGCCGTAGCGGCATCTCTTTCATTTCCAAACATCATATTTAATTTCATTGTTTTCAACAGCAAAAATGTGCAATAATATTTTGGTCCTTTTATTTGGCAACAACTGCCTTTTCTACCTTCTTCTATTTATTTATGAATTAATTGTAGAGAGGCTTTAAACAGAGTGATGCCAACGCCACGAATTAAAGTTCATTCAAGCAAAATAATAAATCCCCAATTTTCAAGTTATGAATTCCTCACATATTCCCAGTTTGCTAAATTTATCGAACAAGACCTTTTGCAAAGTACTATGCTGGTCCGAATACCCAGATAAGTTCAAACTTACAGGGAAATTCTGGCTAAGATAGTAAAAAGTCTTTCGTAAGACAAATAAGCACAATGGCACAAAAGTCTTAAAAAACAGCTCTCTCATTCACCACTCGTGGTGAAAATTTATTTTGAGAGAAAGCACTTGTATATCATTTAGCTCGCATTGCTCCAACAATCGCAATGACCGCGTGGGCAGAGCACTGGGGTACAATTCGAGAGATCCAGTTCGAGTCCTTTCTTTTTTTTAATTTTTATATTGTATTGTTTTAAAAAGAAAAAAAAATAATTTTTTTTTAATTTTCATTTTCATTTTAAAAAGAAGAATAATTTTTTTATTTAATTGAATTCATGACCTTTTTTTATTTTGTTCTGTTTTGAATACTTTTTTGTCTTTTCTTAGTTCAATTTTCTTTAAATGTTTAGATTTTATTGTTTATAAGAGAAAGATATTTTTTGATTTCATTTAATTATTAGAAACTTACTTTATTTATTTTTTCTTTTTATAATTTAATTTATTTTTTTTTGTTAATACATTTTCCTTTAATTTTTAGATTTTATTGTTTCAAAAAGAAAAAATTTATTTTTTTATTTCGTTTATTTAGTTTTTTGTCTTGTTTTAATACATTTTTTTTAAATTTTTAGATTTATTTTAAAACTAAAAATTGTTTTAATTACTAGTGTTTTTTTAATTTAATTTTTTGCTTTTTTTAATTTAATTTTTAGATTGTATAGTTATAAGAAGAAAAAAAAATATTTTATTTTAATTTTTAAAATATATTTTTTTTGCTTTATTTTAATTTTATTAACTACAAATTAATTATTTTAACTACACAATTTCCAGTTGGATTTTAGAAAAGTGAAATAAGAATTTTCTACATAAAATCAGTTTTAAAAGTACGGTATTTGTTCTTTTAATATTTTGCTCACGTGGTCATTATCCGAATTCTTTTATATTGCACGCATACAGATCTGCTTCTTTTTCTTCTTCTTCTTATTTGGCACAACAACCGTTTTTTGGTTTTGTGCCGAGACGAAAAAGCTTCGCCAGTTGCCTCTCTCCATTTCAAATTTTCGCCAGTTGTTCATGCGGACGCACTTGGTCCTTCCATTGTAATCGTGGGCGCCCTCGGTTTCGTTGTCCAGCCATGGGTCCAGAGTCATAGGATCTTTTCACCGGAGTGTCGTCATCCATGCGTACAACAAGCCAGCGGAATTGTTGTATTTTTATGGGCTTAACTATGTCTATGTCGTTAAAAAGTTCGTACAGTTCGGCATTTCATCCCATTCATTCGTTCGCACTAAGTATTTCTATTAGATTATTCATTGCGCTAGCTTAAATATTGAAATCACCATCGTTTGAACGAACGCCGTTGGGGGAGAGTCGTAAAGGCAGAAGTGCGACCAACTTTGGCCTTGAAATCATTTCATTCTTGTTTTTACATTGAACTACCTCTCCAATTAAATTCCTATGTAACTCAAGTCCTACCCCCTCGCTACTCTTTTGAACAAAATCAATGCACATGCAAATATAAGTCCTCATCAAAGCTTCTAAGTGATTTTATACATAGCTGCAAATTTTTAACTCCAAACTATGTAAATCTTTTTTTTTCATATTTTTTCCTCCTTAATTTTTACGCAAACATTCGCCCACCGCAATGTCGCCGATTCTCGTGACGCGCTACGTGGGCGCACTAAAACATTGATCGTAACCGCTTTGCAACACTTACATACATACAAACACATCTACATACAAATCGGTCATCAGCAGTGTTGCCAGAACTTTTTGGGCCGACCGGCTAGATTGGCAAAAAAAAGCGGCTAAAAACGGCTAAAATGTTTTAGTGAAATTTCACATAGACTCTGGCAAAAAACGGCTAAAATGTTTTAGTGAAAATCCACATTTTTCTTCACGTTTTAAACCGTATCTTATATATAAAATAGCGTTTAACGTTTTAACGCACATTGGATTTCTTTGCTTAGTTTTTATTATATTCATTGAAGTAAATATTCGCTCTACTTCTGCATTACTTATAGGCAAAACAAGCAAACTAAAAACTAGGTTGCAAAGGTGAGCAAAAGGGTTTTCTCCTAGGGCATTTCGAAATTGATAAACTTCGGCCCAAAATTTTACAGTTGAGTCTAAATTACTCCAGGTATGTAACGTTAACCGTTGCCATTGCATCTCTATGGATGTTATTTCGTCGGCATTTTATTTGTGTTTTTGTTGCTGTAGTTGAACAAATACTTTTGGTTAAATTACTCTTAATGCATTTCCAACCGAAAAAAGTCAATTTTTTTTAGTGTGGCAATATTTGTAGGGAGGCGTTGGCGTAATTCCTTTACTAAAGTGATAATAAAATAGCGACCATTTTCTCGAATTATTTTCTCGGCTTCGTGGTCAAAAGCGTTTGTGCTTACTTTTGTTTTTAAATACTCTTCAAAACTGTGATAAAACTGAGGAAATGGAGCAAGGTATGGTTCCAACGGGGAGCATATAGGATCAAATGTGTTCGCGCTAATAACCACTAGGGAGCATAGATGCGAAAGTAAAACATTGAGTTCATTAAAAATCTTAATTGGCTCTGCATTATTGCTTTCGAACAACTTGTTTACTTTTTGCACCTCAAA